GGCAAAGCTGTTGAAGCATGGCCGGAGGCCCGCATGCTGGGAAGCTCAGAGTTTTGGAGAAAGCGCAGCCACCTAACGCACCCCCAAGCGCAGCACGTAGGCAAGTGCGCGGTGCACATGGCGAGACATTGCGCCGAGCACGCCCGATCATCGGGCGGGTGGGTGCATGTAGGCGACCTCATTCGGAGGGTGGCGAACGATGGCGTCACACACGCCACTACTGCCCTCGCAATGCACGGCCTGACAGCGCTGCCGCCAGGAGAAATTGATGTTCTAGGCATTAGGGCTGACGACATTGCGATTCTTGAAGAGACGCATATACTTGAGCAGTGGCGGTCCTTTATGTACGCAGACGCCTCACACGACGCAGTCGTTGATGAGGAACACGGGGACCTAGTCATCACCACTGAGAGTTGAACGGGTTGCTAAGCCCACGTCGCTGTTCTTTCGTGCATGTCATGGACACTCTTGCGTTGCTCACAGCATAGATCGCATGCATGCCCCTTGCGAGTTTGGGATGGCACGGTGCCACGGGCATCTGCTGCATGTTACATCCGTAGAAGCCATAAAGGAGTCAACGCTGGGAGAAGGGACCATCAAGTACCCGAACAAGATTAGTGGATTCTGCAAATCACCCGGCTACGGACTTCTCTGATTGATACCGACGAGGCGCGAGTTCCCCGCGGAATGCGCTGCACACGCCCCTCACTGGCTCAGCCAGCGGAAGGGCGGTGAGGCTCCACCCGCCGAGGTCTATCAGGCTGAGGGCACTGCCCCGGCCAGTGGTGGACCGCCCACTCGGGGAGCTTGGCCCCATGCAGCCACCCCGTCTTTCTGGGGCACTGGTGCGACGCATAATGAGAATTGGCTATATGTTATTGTCTTCAATGGACGGGTAGTGACCCGCCTTAGGTGCCGCACCTGTCGCGATGGAACTCTTGCGACGACGGGGCAAGCACGTTTCAATGATATTTCTCGCACCGTGCAACTGCAAGTGGTTGAACAAGTTGGTAGGATCGACGCACCACAGATGATGTGGATCTTGATATTTTCACGAGAGTGGTCTGCATGGGAGTTTGCTTTTTCGTCTGATACAATCAGAACGTGGATCTTTTCCGATGAACAAGCGGCCGACGTAGGGCAAAGTACAATGTCCGAAGAAGAAAAGGCCCTCACCACGCGGAGAGTGTGGACAGACGATGGGAGGTACTTTAGCGCTCAATACCACGCCGTGAGGGTTGGTTTGGGATATTGTTTGCAATGCCTCACTCCTGTCAGGTACAGAACACACGTCACAGCGAATTACTTGCAACCGCCTGGAGAAAATGGATTGGTTGCTGCATGGGCGACTCGGACTGAAACCACGTCTTGATGCCCCCCCAGAGGAGAGAACCGATCTAAGATGACTTCAAACAGACTAAGAGCAATGAGCAGGAGCTCCGCTGATGCTTTGGACGATTTGAGCGAGGCCGAACACAACATCAGCGCAAATGGGTTAATCAGGAACACATACGTGACAAGACGGCTTTGGCTGGTGGTACGTTCATGAACTCGCAGCCAGGGGCCGTTCCTTCCTGGCGTCCTGACAGCGCCTCGGCACAGCCGCCGGCGCGTCACGGGCCATACTTCCAGCATCTTGATCCCCTCAAGCTCAGATTCATTGACTACCTAGAGCACAAGCATGGGGGCGCTCATCCCACAGCTGCCCGTTGGTGGCCATTGATTTGGACGCCAGATCTGGACCAATATGCTCGCCCCATGAGATTGCCTGCGCTTCCAGCTTTCGATTGGGAACATGTTAGTGCAGAACAAATTCGACCGGAGACATGCTGGGCAGTGGGGACGAGAGATGGAGGAAAGAGGACTTGTCATTCCATCAGTTCGAGTGTTGACGGAGAGTTTGGAAGCAGCGCACCGAGCGTCTGCATCGAACCAAGTAGGAGACATAGATGTCCGAGTCGTTGCTGAATTTCATCACCGGCCAAGCCGCAGTGACGAAGTCATCTCGGAACATGAAGAAGAGGCTGCGACGTCGGATGGCGCATGCAATCAACATATCGCCCAGCGACACCCACTGATTATTCCGAATACAACGCTGCCCTTTTGGCTCGATTAGATTTCTATTTCTGGCTGCACGTGTGGTTATAATTACATCAATGAAACGCGCCAGAAGTTTTCAAACTTGCAACACACTTTGTTCTTGAATACTTATCGATTGTTCCACACACGAGCCCGTTGCACACAGACATCATTCATGACGCACCGCTGGGATTATCCGAGCTTGCGAGTATAATCTGGAACCAACCGTTCGATCGCATCCCCACCCATGGAAGATGAGGACGGACTCTGTTAGCTGTGCGCGAAGTCATCTTCATATTTATGTCCGCGGGGGTCCATGTTGCGTTTCCAGGGTGCGAGGTACAGCGTAATCCGCAATCCACAAAAATCATGCAAGGTGCTCATGCTTTGGGTTGTCGGATCCGAGCTGCAGTAGAGTCATGTGGCTCACTTCATAATTTGATAAATGGATGAGGGAATGAAGTGTCGGAGACCGCGCCACGGAATTGCTCAGGCATTCAAGAGGCTGTGTTTGTGTTTTTTAATGCGCACGTCCACGGAGTCTCAATTTATTGCCAAGATTTGTCTTGCCAACAGCCATTCTGGGGTCTTCAATACCGATAAATAACGCCTTTGGGATTACCAATGGTCTTAAGAAAAAGAAGGAGAGTGGCCCAGCCAGCTCTCCAACCGAGACAATCCCAGCTGAGTCGCCAGCAGACGCTGCAACCCAGTCGTTGACGGCATTGCCCCGAGCGGCGCCGCCGCCCCGGGCCAGCGAACTCAGCCATGCTCTCGCTCGGCATCGCGACCGAGGCACCAGTGCGGAAGGCAGTTTTATCGGGCCGCCCCCTATGCGCCTGCGTCTGCCGGCCCAGCCGCGCCAGGCACCAGCGCTGGCTGGAACGATTAAGACAGCGCCCAGTCGGACTGATGAACCCATCCCTGACAGACTGGCCGTAGAGCCGGTTGGCGGCCGCGCGAGCGATGGCGGCGGCCCCGGGCCGCCATGGGCGGCGCCCACGACGCGACCGTCGACTGCGAAAACAAGAACGAGAAGGGAGAAATCCAAGGGCACCATGCACTTGCATCCCGGCATCAGCAAGTCACCGGCCACAGTTGAACGCGGCAATGGTTTAGTATGGGCGAGTCAAATGACAAGTTCCAGCGTGACTCTGGATTGCCAAGTACCTCGTCAGTGCCTCCACCGCCGCTTACGCCGAAGGCGAGACCGCCGGGGAAGGGCCGGGGCAAGAGTGAGCCAAGTGGCTGGAGCTCGAGCCTCAAGCAGAAGAAGGGGCAGCTCCCCCAGGGATCAAAACCAGTGGCGCTGGAGCAACAGCGACCCCTGGGACGACCCTCGTGGATGGAAAGGTCGCTGGAGAAGGTGATGCGACGCAATGGAACCAGCACGACAAAGTCGATGCTGGTCCGCACTGCTTCGTGGAGCGGGTGCACCAGGTGTGCATGGGCATTGAGGCCTGAGCTGGGAATTTTAGCTCAGGCGGGGAACGTCGGGCTTCTTCGGCCTTCCGCCCCCTGGCAACCACCGCTGGGCGGTAAAATGCTTTTGGGGGTCGCTCCAGTGGCTGCACATATGTAAAGGCCAGGTGGGTTGGGGGGTCGGGGCGGCTCTACGAACCCCGCCGCGGGGGGAGTCAATGCACCCCTTCCGCACCACCAATCTTTCGCCCTGCCTGCTCTCTCTCCTTGCGCGCGCTGTCCGCATGCTGTGCTGGCTGACTACTTCTGCTCCCGCAGCTATGCTACTCTGGCTCTGGGGAAACGAAAAAGGAGCGAGCCTGCGGCGCGCGCGCGTCGGCCTGCGGGCCGGCCTCCTCCCTTCAGTGTTACTTCAGTGCACGCTTGACGGCACTATCCCTTCTTACCCATGTCATCTGCGGAGGCCACTGACCATGATATATCGTCAGAACATATTGCAGTGATTATGAATATCCAAGCAAAAGACTCAGCCACCTCCTCCTGTTCCCCTTCCTACTCACCCGCGCGATCTTCATCACACCTGCCCAGTGTCCCCCCACATTCGCTGCCACTTTCTAGTGCGCTAACCCGTGCGCATGCCAAATTAACAGCATAAAACAAACGCTCTTCTTGCACGTCTGACCCTTCACGGGAAGGCCAGATCCCGAAGGTCCAACGGTCTTTCATTTCTTGTTTTGTTCTTCCTGTCCTCAGGTAGCCGTGTTGCGGCAGGGACGATCTGGAATCAGCACAACTAGAAATAACCAGGCTCGTAAACGAACCAGGTGCACACATCCCTTATTCCCTTATGCACGCGTAATTGTGGACGCACGCAGCCTGGCCGGGGCCGCCAGGTAAAGCCATGCCAGTTTGGGAGACCCCTGCGTGAGAATCTAAACCAGGAGACTGTGTGGCCAATGGGCATCGAGGCTCATGGGGCGTGACCGTCGCAGGAAACTTGACATTGATATTGATGCATGCTCAGATCCAGCCCTCTCTCACATGTGTCCATTCCCCTTCTCAGTCCGTTTTACACCGCACCGTTTCCAGTCCCTCTCTCATCTGCGTTCTTCGCCCTTCCATCCCCTTTTCCCGCCACCCCCCCCCACCACCACCCTTCGCCTCCCCCCCCCAGGCCCGTCCGCATTCCCTCCCCCTGTCTTTTCTCCTCCCTCGGCCTCCCCTTCCCCCACCCACCCACCCCATCCGCCTTCTTCGGCGAACAAAGAATGGGGGCGGGCAGCGCTGCCGAACCAAGAAATCACCGCGGACTTCCGAACTTTTGATGTTTATGCCAGTATTTGGTCCTCGACCCCCCTGGCCTCGCAAAAAATCACGACCAGAGCCCTGGACCCCATCTGTCTGAGTAGTTTTTCAAGCCAGATCGATTCGTGAAGGTCCCAGGGCCCAAAACCATGGTCTCAGGGTCCGCCTTCCCCCCCCCTTCCCATCCCAGAGAGGTATTGCTTGAGGCTGCAGTGCCGTTCGCGCGCGCCGGGCTCCTGTCCACGGCGCCCTTCGACCTGCTGGGGCCCGTGGCGAGGCACCGCGCGGTAGCGGCGGCGGCCATGCCTCCCCCGGTGCCGCTCGGCGCCGCTGGGCTGGCGCCCGAGGGGTCAGAGGCCCGTCTCAGGGATGGGAGGGTTGGGGTGGAAGACGGATGCGAGGGGAGGCCGAGGGATGGGATGGGATTGGGGGGGGGGTGGACGGGGCAGACCCTCTCTAGGATAGGAGGAAAAGCGAGGCGAGGCGAGGCGAGGCGCCGTAGACGAGGCGGCAAGGCCTCCCCCAGTGCCGCTCGGCGCCGCCGCGCTGGCGCCCGAAGGTTTAGAGGGCCTTTTCTCATCTGCCGGAGCATGCGGATTCTCACCGCCCCCCCCCCTCGTCCTCAAATGCTCATTCCTCCCCCTTTCGTTCCTTCCCCCTCCCCGTCTCCCCCTAGTCAGAATGCAGGGAGCATATCATCATTTACAGCAAGCGAGTCAGACAATAGGGACTAGCATCCGCAGATATGGTGGGTCAAACCTACCTAGTTTTAATGTTGGTAGCGGAGCTGCCAGCCCTTGGACCCGCAGTTGCTTCGGCATCGTAATATCATCAGCTTTAGGACACTTCAGCTACTTTTCGCGCTTCGGCGTGAGTTTCATCATCTCTCGAGATTCGGACATTGAGCAACTCATCAGTTCCGATGCCTACAGCAGCAATTACAAGCACGAACTCGCGAGGGCCAATTTGGGCAACTCGCGCAGGTCAGCGCTCGACGTCGACACCCTCGACTTCGACGAGGAAAACCATTCAATATGGCGGCAGGATGGCGACCCTGTGTGAAGATATATTCGTTGATCAGTGATGGGGAGAAGGTGCACCGTCAGATCCCCAGCTGATTCTGCCAGATCTACGCACCGCACTTGCAGACGACAGTCCAGATCTGCAAGCACTTCATGTCGACCGGCTCTTTAAACTACATCGAGGACCACACAGCCTTCTAGACTTCCTAAAGGCGTTTCAATGTTGTCACGCAGCAGCTGAAGAGCACGCAGCTCTGAATATCAATCATGTTGGTTTAACACACATGTTCTTGTCTTGGGCTGGTCTGGCACCGCTCTTCGTTGACGACAACATGTTGATGGTAGAAGGCGGCCGAAAACAGTTCATTGATAGATGCAAGCTACTTATGAAATTGAGCAAATGACAGGACGATGTCAAAGACGGCGTTGTTTAAGGAATTGTGCGGGCATGCGAAGTTCACGACAACCCCGATGACAGTATGTTCGACTATTCCACACATCACAACGGCACATGGTATAGCAATGGTCACTCATACCAACAAGCTTACTACCTCAACGTGGCTTCGGACGGCCAGGAGCACATGCCCGTAAGGGTTTCGCATTATTGGGACGGCACTCTGGATGATGAAAAGTTTCAAACGTGCTACTATGGCCAGGGCGACGACGACGACGAAGATTAACAGGACGACTACGGTGACGAGCCAGCGCTGTTCAATGACCCTCTTGATGGCCTTCCTTCGGAGTTCCTGTTTTTACAAATACGCCAGGCGCCGCAATGGTAAAAGGCTAAGGCGGCGGCAAACTTGGCTGCGCACACGTCAGGGGGCGCAGCAAAAGCGGAAAGACCGTCAAAGGCAAGAATCGATTCAGCATTTGCGGGCGTGGCAATTCAGAATGCACATGTCGGCGGGGACGTGAATTCTAGGCAAAAGGCAAAGGCTGCGGCAACGGCGGTGGCAAGGGCAAGAGCAAGAAAGGCAAACTTTCGCATCGAGAGCACGACAAACGACCGAGACAAAGTCAACACCAACAGCAAGCAACAGCTCATACACTACAATCCAACGCGCGTGCTCCCGGATCGAACTCGGGCTTCGGATGCGAAAAGTGCGGCATCAGGTGGCATTCGATGAAAGGTTGCCAAGAAATTAGGCAGCAACCAGACATGGACGACTCGTCGGACTTTTCACGGGCAACGCAGGTACGAGCGCCATGGACTTCGCATGGCCACCACCACCTCCGCGGGCAGTTCGGAACGACGACCAGAGAAACATCCGGCGGCAGCACAAGAGCAGCGATATTGGTCGGCCTCGGATCGCGCAGAGGCCTCGGCCGCAACCGAGGAGGGCGCAAATGAATCTGATAGTGAAGAGCCATGGTTTCAATCTCGGACAGATCCCTGGGCAGAGGCGGCGCGCGAGACGGCCGCGCGAGATGACGTTCGCCCCCGGCAAAACAATCCGTCGAGAGCGCGCAGAGACAGAACCGCGCGCTACGATTTCGGCGGGCACGGCAGCAGTAGTGGCACCCAGAGCAGCATGTTGCATGGAGCTGGGCTTCGGCGAGGCGGCAGCGAAGAAGCTTGCTCGGGGGAACCAGCGTCAGCACGCGGCGTTTGGAGCGGGCTTGCCCAGCCAAGAATGCCCGCAACTACTGCCATCAGCATCGTCGGCAGCAGCACCGCAATCATAATCGAAGGCCCACGTCAACCGACAAGTCGCGCATCCACTGCGTTCGTGGGCGAGGGCGGGGGGCTTCGTCATATACCCGGGAGTGGCATCTGGCATCAATGGCGCAGATGCCCCATTGGAGCACGGCGACGCGAACAATTGCGCGATCGACCCGGGGAGAGGCAGCGCCACGCCGGCCAGAGCCTTGGCACATGCGTCAGACGCCGACAAGACGGGTGAGCGCGCTATCGAGGCACTCTTCACGGACAGCTGTCACTGCCCAATGCCCGCTGACGACCCCCATGGACAGCCGCGCGAGGAGGCCGCGGACTCCACGCGCGTCTCCAGGATGCCGTTCCACACCGCCTAAGACACATGTTCAAGAATGTTCAGAATTCACACGTTGACATTCGCCCTTCTGGCAGGATCAACTGACGGCGACGAAGGGCGCGGTAACTGACGTTGAACAACAGGACAGCGATGTGACATCGTTGGGCTGGGCCAGGCACTCGAAGCATCGCCTCGGCCCTCGCGGGCGCCGCCGCGGACGCCGCCGCGAAAAGTGCGCGGGCGGCCGCCGACGCGCGGGAGGCGCGTTCCCCTATCATCTCCCCGCAGAGCGCGCGGAGCGGGAGGGCGACCGGCCCATCCCGAGAGATGAGCCCTTCCGGACGACCCACCAGGCGAAATCGCCCAGATGAAGTTGCACGGCAGAACTCTTCCGGATGAACTTGCGCGCGGGCAACCTCGCCTCTGGGCGAAATCGCCCCTGGCGGAACTCGTCTTCGGACGAATTCGCTTGGGGGAAGTTGGCCCAGCGAGCTCGCCCGGGCCAAATCGTCTCTGATGGACTTGTCCCGACGACGCGCTCGCACATGAAACGGTTGGCCCCCGCGGCCACAGCGGTGGCGCTGAGCGATTTCAGCGGAGTTCCACGCCGCAACGGGCAATGGGGCAGTCGCCCAAGCTGGCTTCGAGACATGGAACGCGCGGCGCCGCGGCCATCGCGCGGCGCGGGCATCTCGGGCGCAACGGTCAGGACCGGGGCGACTTTGGCGGCCGCGAGATCAGGCCTCGCGCACGCGTTCGTTAGCGACGCGCGCAGGTGGATGATCAACAATGCCCAGGACCCATCGCGACGACGGCTGCACCTGCTGCCGGCAGCGGTCGGCCACGCGCAATGCGCGCGGAGCAGTGGCTGCAGCCGCAGATCGACTGGACGAGTTCCCCCCATGTTGGAGCGTCTTTATCGCGATCATGTTGACCAGGGTCGAACAGGGTACATGCCGGCGCATCAGGGAGTTCATCTTGCGATTTCAAATGCGGGGCCAAACGCTGCTTTAACATAACCAGGACATCGCCAACGATCAGACGCCACGGGTGGACGGCGGTGCCCACGGCCGCGCCGACGCCAAGAATCAGCCACTGCGCCCGACAGGCACGACGCGAGCATCAAGATGAAGAAGAGCAACACGCGGCGCACTGGACACGGCGCACAACGCCGCGCAGACGTCGGGAGTTCGGCACCAGGAGCAGGCTCGAGGGCGGCAGCATTCTCGACAGCCTGCGCAATGCTCATGCGCTGGTCACGCACCAAAGAAACCACCACGTTCGTGACAGGGCTTAGGCGTGATCTGCTGTTTGCAACAATCGCGCGCATCGGCGTGGACATGCGCCGCGACCGTTTTGGAGATAAAGTGGCGTCTGCTCAGCTTGCGCGCGCGAAGGCTACAGCGCCGCAGCGCGGCAGCGATGCAGCAGCGGCTTGCGACAAGACAAATTTTGCCAACAATTTCTGGGGGCCCCGCCAACGTCGCGGGCCCCATGCGGGGCTCGAGCTGGCGCGACCTGCAAGCGCGGCCGACCAGCTGCAGCCTCGATTGGGCCCGGGGTCGAGGCGAGGTCTCGGCGTTCATCGTGGAGGGAGTATTACGCCAGCTGCGCTACACGGGCGAGCTCGTAGTCCTCCTCGGGGGTCGAGGTCAGTCTCGTCTGGCGCGCCAGCGCGGCGACTGCTTCGCTCGGCCCACGATCGCGCGGACGACGGCCGCGCCAATGCGGCGGGAAGAAGACGCCGGCGTGGACGACACAAAGCGCGACGCGGACGGACTCGGCAGTATTGGGCTGCGCGAGCAGATGCATCGCACCGACGAGACCACGCGGATGCGCCATAGTGGCAAGCACGGCGGAGATTGCGCGCGCGGGAGGCCCCCTGCAGATGCAAGCTGGCACCCTGGGCCCATCGCGACACTTTAACACGACCGACCGCTAAAGCAAAGGCAGAGCCAGCACCGACTGGGTGCCCCCCCAGCACCAGCAGGTCTCCTAACACCAGCGCCGCCTCGACCACTAGCACCGCCAGAATTTCATGCGTTGATGAATCTACTCAAGCCTTCGACGGACGTCGCCTCGCCCCACGCCGCCGACCCACCTGGCAGCGAGGAGACGTCCAACGCTATTTCGAATGATAACGCCCCGTCCTGGATAACTTCTTTCGGCGGGGACCGGCAAATTGGGGCGGTCAGCTTTCGATCGGCTTGGCCAACTCAACCCAGCGCAGCAGCATCACGCGATCCGCGAACACAAGTGGCCCATCGTTGCTCGAGGACACGCGGCGCCAGCGAGGTTGAAGACACCGAGCGTCGGATACTCCACGCCGCAAGCTCA